CACTGACGGGGCCCAACACCCCACACACAACCCACACAGGGCCTGCGGACCCACTGACGGGGCCCAACACCCCACACACAATGCACGCAGGGCCCGCAGACCCACTGACGGGGTCCGACACACACACAATCCACGCAGGGCCCACAGATGCATGGATTGGACTGGCTGTACTGAGCAGACCACGGGGCTGCTGGGCACGTGACTGAGCCACCAGCAGTCAGGTGACTGAGCACAAGAGGGCTGCTCGCCTCCACTGAGCACAGTGGCACCTCATCCCACAGAAAAGAGAACCTTGCCGAGTGAACATGCTAAGAACAACGGGGTGTCTTCCATTGTCCTTGTATGGGCAGACCTAGCCGGCGGACTATTCTGCCACGTAGCCTGACCGCAGGTGTCCTGAAGGCACTTCCCTTCGGACTCGCCCTGACGTGGCATGCTCGATGGTGAGAGAGCCTGTGCGCTCTTGGGGGCGGGTGTCCCCACACAGTGGGGTGTGAGTCCCGGTGCAGGGCAGCCTGGCTCCTCACTACCCTTCTGCTGGGCACCTGACCGGACCGGCGCGCCATAGGACATTCACCACTTTCGACTGAGCCATTATTTAAACATCCTGCACTCAACCAGCGAGGCTCTTACGAGGCTAGGAAACAAGAAAGCTTGACCTGAAGCCACTTCCGACAGAACTGGTTGCGCTTGGTGCCACCGTGGTCCCGTGGGTCCACGGCCACGGCACCACGGGGACGCCTGGCCAAGGCGACGGAGCAGAGCCACGGGGCAGGTGGCGGGCCGGCCGCAGAGCGCTCCTCGTGCGCAGACGCACACGCTGGGCGCGCTCCCCCGCCCGCCGGCCGCCACGCGCGGCCTCCTCGTGAGCTCGCGGGCGCGGCGCCAGGCTGGGGGTGCGCCTCCGGCCGCGGGACTTACCGTCGTCCAGGTCCAGCTGGTCCAGCTCCTGAGGCTCTCGCTTGACCGTTACGGGGAAGGGAGCCAGACTATGATTACTGTCCTCACGCACCTCGGGCGGCGGCGGGGGCCGGGGGGCTGCAGACTCGCTCCTCGGAGCCTTCGGCAGGCGGGGCTGCTGGCGGCCCATCTCGGATGGGCGGGTGGGGCTGCAGGACTGCAAACAGGTCGGCTCTTGGGTACCGGACGGTGGTGAGGAGGAGGGGCCGTCAGGACAGAGAGCTGGCCGGCGGCCGGGGGGGCAGCTGCTGCTCAGCCGCGCACTCACCTGTGGTTGCAGCAGGGCGGGGGGCGGCTGCTGGGGGGGCCCTGGGTGCACGCCCACGGGCCTCGGCGTCTCCCGAACGGCGAGCACCCCTCCGGCCGGCCGCTGAAGTCCGAGGTGGCCGTGGCCTGGGCTGGCCGTGGCCTTGCCGTAGGCAGCGGAAGAGAGGTCGTGGAGCTCCGGGCCGGCGCTGGGCGGTGGCGACACCATGGTGCTCCTCTGCGGACAGGGCGGGAAGCCAGCCACCAGGCAGGAGCCTGGGTCGGGCGGCACCGCGAGCTGCTGGCTGTAGCTCGGCTGAGGGAGCGGGCTCAGGCCCTGGCCCACGGGCCCACAGCTCAGGGCAGGCTCGAGGTCGTCGGCGGGCTCTGTTTTGATGGTCGGAGCTGCAAGAAGGAAAGCAGGGGAATAAACACGGGCTGCAGATGCTGTGATGGGTGGGGGATGGGGCGGGCCGTGGCCAGGACACTCTCGGAAAACAGACAGCGTCCCGACTGAGTCCCTGTGCGTCTCCGCCTGGTTCTCCCACCCAATTAAGAGGAGGGCGTGAGTCACCGTCTCCAGAAAGCTGCAGCTGGTTCTAATACTGAGAGCGCTGTTTTGCTTGGAATCCCCCCCAGCACTAATGTGCTATAAAAACCCATTTGCAAACTGCAGCAGAAGCTCTGGACCCGAGGGCGGGCGGATTTGTAGCAATCAAAGCGAAAACTTTAACTTGGACGTACAGCCACCTTCCTCCTGCTACTGACGTCCTATCTGATAAATGTCTGCACGTCGGTGAACTCGAACATGCACTGAGGTGGCGTGAAGATGCCTGTAAGCCCTGAGAGAGACGCTCGGCGTCTACATGGTGGGGGAAATACGCCCACCCAGGAGGCCCCTGGAGCAGCCGCTTCGGAGCCATGGGCCGCCCTGGCCACACAGCCGGGGTGCGGCTCTGGGCCATCCTGGCCCCCCCTTGCCGGGAAGGCAAGGCAGACAGCAGCAGAGCAGCCCTCTCGGCCAGGCCTGGGCCAGACGGTGCGAGCAGCTTCAGCTTCTAAAACGGGGTGGGTGTGCTGCGGGCTTTCTCGGGACTTGCCCCGCCCTCCCGCCCCCTTCCTGTCTCTCCCTGTCCACAGAAGTCAGGTCCACTGCGAACCTGGTGCCACAGGGACACCCTCAAGCCCCTCCCGCCTCTTCCTGGGAGGCAGACCCGGGACAGATGCGCGGCGCTGGGGGAACCAGGCGGTGGGCCGACGTGTGGCCCGGGTCTCTGCCTTCACTACAGCACTTCTACGTCCTGAGATCCGCTGGCAGCCGTGGATGACGGGGTGGGGAGCGTCCTACACAGGAGCACCGTATGGCATGGGGGTGACCCGGGACAGGTGTCCCCTCACTCTGCCTCGTCTCCAGTGTGAAGGTGGCGCCCGCGCTGTGACCAGCAGGTTCCTGGTGTCTAATTCCCTTCCGAGTCGCCGAGTGCTGGTGCTCGGCTCCTGGGGCCCTGCACGGGATCGCTCTCTTTTGCTTCTAGATTCTGGGGGCAGGAGGGTAGGACGGAGAACAGCGGAGTGAGGGGGGTCTCCACGCCAGAGACTGTGGGGGTGCTGGGCAGGTGTGTGTCAGCCGCGTGGCGCCCGCAGTGCCCACTACAGGGGCCGGGGCATGCGCACTGCTCTTGCACTCTTTGCTAGTGGTTTCTCTTCAACGGGACCGGGGTGGGGGCAGGGCTCTGGCTGCGGGCGAGCCCCAGCTCAGGCATCCAGGGAACGTCCAGGGCTGCAGAAGGGACCCAGGAAGAGCCAGATGTTGTTCAGGGGGCGTTTTACTGCTGTGCGTCCGTCACACCTGCTCTGGGCCGCTGTCGTGGGTCTCCGGGAGGACCCGGGATGCTCGAGGGCCTGTGGGCGTGTCCGGAAGAGCGGGTCGTGCTCCTCCCGGGGGCCGCGGTGACCTCAGGCTCCTGGCTCTGGAGTCCCGGCGGGCCCCACCCAAGGTGCAGCACGTCCCCAGGCTCTGGCGTCCGTGTGCACATGGGGGAACACCGGCTGTGTCTGGTGGTCCTCAGCGCTCAGGCCCCGGGGACGCCCTCTTAACTTCCAGTCCACCGCTGACTGGAGCTGCCCCACCCCCCACGGGGCCTCCAGCCCGGCAGCCGCCTCCGAGGAGAGCCCAAAGTGGGGGGGACCCCGGGACCCAGGTGGCTGTCCCCATGGCTAACTGAACACAGGGCTGGGACCCTGCTCGTGTTGCTGGGCAGCAGGGGACGCGGCCCGCAGGGTGACAGGTCCCCAGGCAGGACTGCCTGCCTGCTTCTCACACATCGTGAATCCAGAACAGCAGAGGGGAGAGTCAGGCCCGGAGAGGCAGACGGGCCTTCACCTTCTGACGGGGCCCCAGGAGCCCGGGCCAGCGGCAACGTGCCGGCGAATGGAAGGGCGGAGGTTGAATTCCTGAACTAGCTGGGTAACTTTCAAGTTCCTGATCTTCAGAATACGTGCACGTCTGGCAGATTAAATGAAACCCTACGGGAACCCTCTCTTCACTGTGCTGCATTTCCAACCAGGCACGGGGCCCACTCGTCTCTCCCGCGAGGGGTCCCCTGAGGTCTTTAAAAACGCGTACCCCGTCTGCGCCGAGCCTCAGAGCCGTGCAGCCCAGCCAGCTGCCAGGAAAGGCCGGCAGCGCAACTTACCCGCCACGTAGGGACGGGGCTCCGTGCACGGCCAGAAATGGCGACCCCGGGGGCTGCTCAGAGGCCCGGCGGCCACGCCTGGTGGGCAGGGCCAAGCTGGTGTCTGCCGGCTCGTGCGTGCTGTTTATGACCTGTTTAAGGCCTCCCGGTGGCACTGACATTAACTCCCACGTCACTGGGCTCCCCAGGACCTTGTGGAAAAGTTTCCACAGCATGGTCACCGTCTGATGGCGTGGGGGCAGTAGAGAGTTGTGACAGGGCCAACCACACCCCGTCCAGCCCGCCTGGCCCCCATGGGCTCCTCGGAACCACGGTGCTGCCTGTCCCCAGGTGGACGTCCCTCCCTGTGTTTGCAGACACGACCCCGCCGCCCCCCTGACTACAGCCCCGGGACAGGCTCCCTGAGGGAAGAAACTGACATAGTGACCCCCTGTGCTCGACGGCCCCACATGGGCCAGGATGACAGGTCAGGGGAGCTGAGGAGAGACAGACCCCGGGGTTCGGGGCTCAGGAACAGCGGCCCCGACCGCAGGCAAAGGGCAGCAGACGCAGGGGTGGACGCACCCTGGGAACCAGGCCCCAGGGATGCGGGACGGCTCGGGGAACACACGCAGCAGCCGCATGCCCTCCAATCCTGGGGCCCCTGCGGGGGCTCAGGGGCATGAACATCTGGCGTCTAAACCGCATCTCTTGGGTTGGATTTCAAAGCAAACGCGCACCCTTTCTGTGAATCGGAGCAAGAAGATGCCTCCTGTTTCCTATTAGCGAGGGAAGAGGGGCCGAGTCCTGAGCGGGGCCCTGGGCCGTAGAGAGCGCCAGGGGCCGCGGCCACGGCCGAGAGGCTCCTTCCCGACCTGGCCTTGGTGTGACGCAGCGTCTGGTTCCTTCCCGCCGCCCACCTCGCTGGTCTGGGCAGGGGCCGGGGAGACGCGTTCATAGTCCAGGTCACTGCAACAAATGCGTGAGGGATTAACGCTAAATCTCGAAGGCTGCCGCCGTTCACAAGGTCTGTTCCTGTAGGGGGAGGGTGCATCCAGGCTGAGCGGGCGTTCACACCCCAAGTGCAGCGACTCTGTTCTATGGAGGAGACAGCACGGACGTCCCCTGGATCCCCGAAGCTAAGCGCCCTGCCCTCTGTCAAAGGGCAGCTCAGGGGGGCTTTGTCCCCAAATAGGAACTCCGGGCCCCACCAGCCAGGCTGCAGTGCCTTCTCTCCTGGGCCGCGCACGCCTCTCCGTGAGGACCCCAGTCCACCCACAAGCCGTGCAATGGCCACCTGTGGGCTAAAGACCATTTCAGAATATCCTGGCCTGGCTGGAAAAAACTCCGCATCTGGCCAATGGGCGCGACCCACACACAGCTTCCTGTTCCCGTGGGTAGAGTCGAGCCCCACCTCAGAGCCCCAGGTGAGGTCAGGTGGGGCTCGGGGCAGCCCCAGCCACCTCCCTGAATCGCTCCAACCAGATCTCCTGCCCCTTGTCAGGTTTGGTGGCCTTGGGATGTCCAAGCACGGGCCTCATGATCCACACGTGGTCCACACATGGTCCACACGTGAGCTGTGCTGCTGTGTCTCACATGGGGCACAGAGAAGTGAGTATCCACCTTGCTCTGCAGGGCAGGACCCAGGGTGGGCACCCCAGCCCACCGCACCTACACACCCCTTGGCGGGCACACACCCAGCCTGGCTCATGGTCCCCCCAAGAAACATGCCTTTGGGTCAGCTGCTGCCTCTCGCCTGGGGATTCCACGCAGGTGGCAAATGGCCACCACAGACAATTTCAGCAGGTGAGCAGGGCGGAAGCAGCCCCAGGCCTACAGCAGAGCCCAGGAGGGGGTTGGGGCTTTGGCTCCCAAGCAGGCCCTGACGCCCAGGGCCCCTCCTGGAAGAAGACGGCAGTGGCGGGGCTGGCCCCCACAGCTGGCCTGGAGCCATGTGACGGGATTCCACCAGGGAACGCTCAAAGGGTCCCGAGCCTGTGAGTCAGCACGGAAGCATGTGGTGGTCCCCCCCCAGCCGACAGGGGGACACGGTCCGCTCGGATGCCAGGCCGCCCCTTCCAAGTCCTGCCCGTGTCCTGCCCGTGATCAGACACGCCCTGTCCTCTTGCTGAAAGGCAAAGTTGAGCAATTCAATTTCGAGACGCTGTGTGGGCCAGCCCTCCCGCCCAGGTTTGTGGGGCTGGGCCCCCGAGCGCCAGCACCTCATGCCCCCAGAGGTCTTCTTCAGAAAACAACGGCACTCAGAAAACACAGAACGCCACACCGTTCTTTGAGTCCTGGGCCCCCAGATATCGGTGATCTCGTGACCCCAACACCTGACCCAGTGCCCAAATTCCAGTTAACAAAACAGGACGCAAGCTTGGAAATGCTCTCGAGCCCCAGAGCTGCGTGAGCAGAAAGATACCCACACTTCGGGGAGCGTGCGGCCTCCCACACACGCGGCGGGGGGGCCTAGTGCTGCAGTGACCCACAGGCTGCATGTCACTGGCTAACTGCGTACCTCTCGCGGGCCTGCTTCCTCTGCCCAAGGACAGAGTCCCATCTACCCAGCAGACGGCAATGGACCCACATGGGCAGTCCACGTGCAGGGGCTACTGTGTGCCCCCCCTCCCCATTGGCAAACCCCTGCCTCTGCCTCTGCGGGGCTCAGGAATCAGAGCCATGCTCTTTGGCCTTCAGTAGGCCAGAGACACTGCCATGAAACAAACT